CCCCAGGGAGTGGCCCTAAGCCAGCAGGTGGTCATTCCCCGAGGGGTTCCAGACTGAGAGAGGGCACAGGCCAGGCTGAGGGACCCTCCCGAGTGCACAAATTTTTGTGCACTGGGCCTCTAGTGTATTAATAGTCTGCATTTCTTAACTTATTGGAAAATATTGATCACATGTTAATAATCACAAGTTAAAAATTAGGGCAAACTAGGACACAGTTTGCCTTGTAATGGGTAAGTTTTCTATCAACAAGCCTGTGTGCCCACTCTGATTCCTGCAGTTACAAGACAAAGCTTCCCACTGAGCCAGGCCTCTCTGGAGCATGATCTGAGAGGCCTGGTTATGAGTTTGAGAACTTATAGGGACAAGTAAAATCCCCCCAAAATGAAGCATTGCTACAGAAACTCTTTGAAAAGGAGGGAACGATTACCACTGGTTGTCTGAGGCTAATAAAAAAAACACAAAGAACTATTATAAATCATCCATCTTAGGAGGATTCAATATAGAATTATTTATAGTGGGAATCTTTTCTGTGAGAGTTCTTAATTTCTTGAGACCTTACATGTAAATATCTGTGTTTTAATTTCATTAAGTCAGGGCGGATTATTTTTACTCGAAGATGTAATTTGAAGTTTTGGAAAAAGAGAAGAGTTCGTCTATTTTCACATAGTTTGTGTCCTACTCACGACTCCCATTTTACCTGCCCTCACATCATCTTTAGTGGAAAAACTTATCACCTGAGAGCTGTAAAATATGGTAAAGGTAGGAAAATTGTCTTCATTGGTAAATGTTTTTAAAACGTTGGAAAGTATCTTAGTGAAACCAGAAACCCCTTTCAATCCCTTTGTTAAGATGTCTTTAAATATATAGATTTTAAGAGGGGCAAATTGAGGAGAAAAGGTGAATTCTAAAATAGCAGTTCTCTGCTTAGAGCCTTATAATTGAGGTTTGGGGTGCTTGTTTTTTTGTGTTTTTTTTTTAAATTCTCAATGGAGTGCAGTCCCATTTGTCCCACTCCTATCATGCAAACCTCAATCTGAATTTCTTGCCTGCTCTTTCTTGGATTGATTTCTAAGATATTTTCCCCCCTTTTTTTTTGGCACCCAGGAATTAAATATCTTTAATTACTTGGATCTGTACAGACTTGCTGACCTCTTTAACCTCACTTTGTTGGAGAAGGCAGTGATCGATTTCTTAGTGAAGCATCTCTCTGAACTCCTGAAGAGCCGCCCGGAAGACGTTCTAACGCTTCCTTATTGTCTGCTTCAGGAGGTCCTGAAGAGCGACCGCCTGACCTCCCTGAGTGAAGAGCAGATCTGGCAGGTAAGGGTGCTCTGCATGGGGCTCTTTGGGTGTGGAGAGGGCACGAAATGATTAAAAGTTAAAGGATTGTCCTGGCCGGTGTGCTCAATGGTTAGAGCATTGGCCCACGGACCTAAGGGTCGTGGGTTCGATTCCTGGTCAAGGGCATGCACCTGGGTTGCAGGTTTGATCCCTGGCCCCACTCATGGCTCATGTGGGAGCTACTAATCGATGTGTCTCTCTCACTTCGATGTTCCTCTCTCTTCCTCTCTCTTCCTCTCTCTCTACCTCTCCTTCTCCTTCTCTCCCTCACCGTTTCCCTCCTCCCTTCAACTCTAAAAATCAATGGAAAAAATATCCTTGGGTGAGGATTAACAACAACAAAAAAAAGTTAAAGGATTGAGGGACAATAAGAAATATTTTGTTTGGTTTGGTCCTCATTGGACTCAAAGGCTCAGAAGTCACGCTCCTTGATGGACAAGGAACTGAAGAACCAGCCCGTGAAGCTTAGAGGCCTTAGCCAGCTCAGCTTCACTCGGGGGTTTGCAGGGGAGAATCCTCGGGACCTCCCTGTGACTTCCCAAATCCCCAAGTCAAAGGCTCGTGTGTTTTTTCTCCTGATAAAAAATATTTTCTTAAATTGCATAAGAGAAGAATGGATTGTCAAGTGGTACTTATGCAGTTTCAAGACCAATGGAATCAGAATAAGCCTGGGCTTGCCTATAAACAATTCAGAAACATTTTTTTGTTGCATCAGAGAGCAACTGAGACCTTAAGTGAAATGAAGCTCTTCTTGCACTGTAGTGGAAAAATCTCCCTCCTCAGTTCAGGCTTCATTCATTGCTAGCTTCCTGAGCCCTGCCTTTTCGCCTGACATGGCATTCTTTTTGAATATCCTTTGTCTCGGGGACAGGAGGATGTGTTGTGTTTTCAAGTTGATTATTCAATTTAAATCCTTCTCTGCTCATCCCCAGTGGCTATCCTTGAGCAATCCGCTTGGTGTCTGGGAAACCGTCAGAGCCCATCTTCCCCCTGCATCTAAAGACTGTCTGTCTCACTCTCTGAAACACGGGCTAGCCATCTTGTTACTTGTACGGCAGCATACCTTCAAAATGTCATGATCATGTGAAAAATATTTATATACAGACTATTTTGGGGAAAATATGAAGTCTTCCATTAGCTGATAAGGCAGTGAATTAACAAATAGCCAAAGCAGAGTGAGAGGTGACTGTTAATTAAATCCAGTATCTGACTCTGCAGATTAATGCTTTTTCTGATGTCTTTCTCCTTATTTCTTCCTTTGCATTACTTTAATCAGCAACTTCTTTCTTCATTGTTGCTTCCATCAGTGATGGTAATAAGAGCTGTGGTGTACTGAGGGCCTTCCAGACCTGGGTTCTTTTCAAACTTTTGACTTATCATCACAACAGTCCTGAAGGATGGCTGTTATCACCCCATCTAACAGATGAGCAAAATGAGGCTTTGGTGCCTTGCTCAGGGTTACAGAGCAGAGCAAGCCTTCAAGTCCAAGTCTGCTGACACCTGCCCTCATTTCTGCAGTGTTCCACACTGCCTTGAAAAACAAAATATCAGGACACAGGAATAAGCTCTAGATTTTTTTTTCTGCTTCTTAGGTATTTCTCATGTTTGTTCAGGCAGAGGTCAAAAGTGTTTGGGGAAGATGAGTTTTAGGTATAAATTCTAATTATCTGTTGTTCTCCCTGATAACACAAATCATCAGAATTTTGGGGGCAATTCAAAGTGGGAAATTGCTACAATTTTTTCTTTCCTTTCCCAGAGGGAAAAAGAAAGACTTGGAATGAATTCTGCATTTAATTATTTCTAACTGAATTGAGATCTGAGCCAGCCATCCTTGTGGCTTCTGCCTCTTGTGGTGGCATGGTTGAAGGCACTGCCAGAGACAGACATGGCAATATGCACAAGTCTAGTCTGGGTGTCCAAAAATTCCATACTGTCCACTTATGAGTTACCACAATTGCCTCTCTAAAGGTTACTAATATTATAATGTCAAATTTTAAAAACGGCTTTTGGCTGCAGGCAACATTTTTTTATACCTGGTCCTCAAGAAAGAATTAAAAGACTCACATAAATATGGTCAATTTAGGCATTCAGCAGGCAATAAGAAACTGTTTTGCTTTATCTTAGTATATAAGTAATTCCCTCATACTCAACCCAATAGAGAAAAATCAAATCAGACCAGCTATATTGCCTCAAGTATAGTTAAGTTCATCATTTTTTGCTGAGGTTATACTAGTAATGCAATATACCATGGAAGAATCTAATATTCAGCCCAGGGTGAAGATTGGGTATGCCAGAGGATTAGTGTCAGGGTGCTTTATAGAAGTGAAACTTGATGGATAGGCTGGAGACAGATCTACAGAATCTCATTAAATTGCTGAATTGTTCATTACGGAGTGTTCTCACTGTAATAAAGTGCTCATTGACTTTGACAAATCCCCATCCCATGTCTTAAAGAAGAACTGTGAGGCTAACGGTGTTGGGGAGGAGAAAAGAAATTGGCACAAAGTCAGACAGGTAATATAAAAGTGGATGGAGGGTAGTGCACTTTGATTAATGTGTGCAACTGGTAACTTACTGAATTGTTCATTACGGAGTGTTCTCACTGTAATAAAGTGCTCATTGACTTTGACAAATCCCCATCCCATGTCTTAAAGAAGAACTGTGAGGCTAACGGTGTTGGGGAGGAGAAAAGAAATTGGCACAAAGTCAGACAGGTAATATAAAAGTGGATGGAGGGTAGTGCACTTTGATTAATGTGTGCAACTGGTAACTTATGGGAGAGCCCGGTAAACACCCCCCCCCCCCCCTTCCCCCCCCCCCCCCCACCCCAACCCTT